TCACCTGTGTCAGCATTGGAGTTGGCTGAGCCCATGGCCAAGAAAGAGCTGAACGATGTGGGGCCTGAGCAGAGCCCCTCCACAGCACCCTGGGCAGGGACCCATGGCCCTGGGCTGGGCTCACCTGGGGACCGGCGGCCCCAGAGCAGGTGAGAAAGGAGCACAAGGGCTGTCAGTACCCTCAGCTATCTAAGAAACAGGCTAGAGTCTGAGGAAAAACAAGCTATTTTCCCAGGAAAAATAAATAAAGCTGCTGCTTAATTAATATATGAAAAAATGGCAGTATAAAAAAGGCTAATTAAGCTGTCAGCTTTCATAGTTGCTCACAGCTGCTCGATAGGGTGTGTACGTAAATAAAAAGATGCGATCCTCATATGCTGCAGCTCTAGTGACTTCTAATGGAAAATGTCTTCATGATGGGTCCAGTCTAAATTRCCAGGTCTTGGGAGGGTCCCGTCTCCTGTGCTGGACCTTTCCTTGCCTTACAGGTGGCAGTGGTCTGATAGTGTCTTCGGTAGCTTTTGCCTCTGGTCAGTGCCAGCTTACAGTGTGTTTTTCATATGAAAGAGAGGGAAAGTGTAAAGCTCCTGCAGCAYCGAGCCCCTTAGTTTGGGCACAGACCATCCCCTCTTGCTGCTACTGCATCCCTAAAGCTCTCACTTGAGATACTGACTCCCTGCCTACATGGGAGCTGCGTAGTCCTGCACAGAGCAGGATACAGTGTTTGACCCCCACAAAAGAAGAACAAGTACTTTGCCTTGTTTTTTCTGTAATGATGTCATTTGTCACTATGACACATATTCATTAACTTAGTCTGAAATTTTTCAGCGTCAGATTTATGTTTCTTTTTTTTTTTCTTTCCTGTTTTGAATATTGATGTAGTACTTTCCTTCCGTGACTATACTGTGTCTGCCAAATGGTGTCTAGACACTAAAGCAAATTGACTAATTAGTGCAGTCACCCCCGTCACTCAGCTTTGGCATTTCCAGTCCATTGCATTACTGCTCTTGAGCCGCAGATACCAAAACACAAGCAGAGAGAGGATTGCAGGAGGTTCAGACTTTACCTAACATCCCTGACACAGGTGCAGAGGACAGGAGCCGTAGCAGGACAAGTAGTTTTCACCACTCACTTTGACAGATTCAATGTTTGCTCAGTCTGAAGAGTTTCATACCTACCCCTTTTACCACCACTAAAAGAGATTTCTGTCACTCAGGCTCAACTTCTATGTATCAAGTAACCCAAGGTACATAAATATAGAGAGAAAACRTCACTAACAGAAGTCAACACCTGCTAGTCCTGCAGTAAGGGAACTGCTTGAGGAGGCATCATGTGTTTACTCATAGATCTACTTTCTATTAGGCTATGATTTAGAGCAGATCTAGATCAAAACTGCATTTTTAGAAACGTAATGATAATTCACCACTGAGATTGTAATTTTACATTTTGCACCATGTACTTCTGCACAGCTAATCCCAAAGTTTGATTAACCAGCTGTAAAGAGGTGGGACTGATAAATATCAAAGATAATTTCAGAACATCAAAGAACTCTTATAAAACTTYGTGAATAAAAAAATAGTGAAACCTAATAAATGTTGTCTACACAACAGACTGTGCTAATATAAAATCAAATTGTCTCAAAAACTGTATGCAGGTTAAACACACTACTGCTATTAGCAAACCTTATTTGTAAGCAAAATTTGAAAGTTTTGATTTATCCTACTGTGTTTTAGAAGAGCCAGTATCATAAAGAAAACAAATTGTCATTGTTTTCTTTGTATTTTCATCTGTTAAAAATTATTTTGATGGTGCTAATACACTAGAGACTCGCAGCTTTGGGATTTTTTTTCTCTTTCTCAGAAAGACCGCTTGCACAGATTTTCACTGAATCAGCCAATAGGATTATTCTTATTTTTTCAGTTCATGATATACAAAATATTTAAGTAAGCTTTCTATAAGATATGCAGTTAATTTTGAGGGGATTTACCAGGGCTAAATTAAAATTCATTTAATTGTTTGCTCTTCAGTTTAGCAAACTGCTTAATCTAGGGCTGGAAAAAGTCCAAAACCTAACSACAAGTTACTCCCCACAAGTTACTCCCTGATGAAAAAAAACATTATGTTAACACAGAATGCATCTTATTTTATTTTATTTTGTTTTGTTTTTAGGACTAGTATCATCTTGCTCTTTTTAATCATCATCCCTAAAAGGCTTGTTTCTACTGTCTAAATGAATTCCTACTGCAATATGCAATAGTTTAGGAAAATATTTTGTTATTCCTAGCAATAGGCTAGTTTGTCTTTACTGCTTCTCTGTTGGAAATTAGTCCACCCAAGTATTAGGTGTAGTTAAGAACTCAGGAGAGAGCAAGGACTTTGCAGGTGTGAATTTTGGATGACTCACTACTGATAGGGAGTGCATGAAGATGTCTGGTAATGTTGGGACCACTATATTTGACTTAAGAAAAGTTAAATGTGCGTCATTGTCACTATATTATTTTTTATGACCACAAAAATTCTAAATTCAAAAATCCACAAAAGAATTTCTTCAGAACTTAACATAGAAATCAGGATGTATACGAAAAGGATCATCAGAGAAATTCTTGGCCTCCCTAAGGCAAATAAATTCTTTAAGCAGCCTGGAGAATAAATGACTGTTAAACAGTCATTTTTGTCAGTGTTAATCACTGCGGTGTTAATCCATAGTAATCCATAGTCCTTAAAAGCATTGAGAGAAGAGGAGTATGTTGCATGAATCAATGCACCTCTTAATCTAACAGAAACTGGACAATTAGGGATAATGATATGATAGCCAAAAATGCTTACAGGTTTTAGAAGACAGATTATATTATGTCAGGTCCAAAAAAGGGTTTATTTGGGKTACTGAAATTTAAATCTGAAGAACCACTGTGGTTTAGAAACTCAAAAATACTGCATGAGATCAGTCTCACTCTTGCTACCATGGCAAAAGTTTCATACGAGATAGATTTAATGTGCTGTCTTCCATCCTAAAACAGATGTCACCTCGATATTTGTAGAATTTCTAAGGTCCTTGGAAGCCTTACACAGTCTTTTTTGCAGTTGCTCAGTAGGTTAGATGCCAGCAACTATCTTAATTACTTACCTAGAGAAGAAATTAATATCATGACAAAGGGTTTTCTATCTCATCCTATTCCCGGGAATCCATCTCAGCCTGTCCTCTGGTGGGAACAATGTGTTTTTACCAAAGAAGTAAAGATTTTAGGCAAAATTAGCATGTGTACATATAGGTCATCTTGAAGAATCTGTACAGAGCCTGACTTTCTGAAGCTACTGAAGGCAATTAGTTTGTAGAGATGTCCATTGCAGGGTCAAATGGTTATATAAGGGAAGAGAAATAGTGAAATACTTACAGTTAACYATGGTTTGGAGACAAGCACTGTTTTGTGGATGTCAATCGGAAGAGTTAGAGAGGGATGGAAGTAAAAAGAGGTCATGAAAATAGCTTGAATAAATTCAGATGCAGTTTGAATACAGTCTATTTATAAGACGCTTTCTGGAACTAAGCCTTTGAACCTTTTGAAGTTTGCCTATCAGTACTTTCAGGCCAATTAATGATGTAGAGCCCATCCCCCCCCATCTGAGATAGGTAAAACAATAAGGCAAACAAAAATAATTAGTCTCTAGAGCATGTCAACAAATAAATTAAATCTGTGCAAATCACTCRGCTCTACTAACTTTTGTGGTTTTGTTGCAAAAGTAAAAAAGAATATTTATATTGCAAATCTACATAATGCTAGATTGGTGCTGGAAAAGCATAGATGGTATTATTCTGATTTTGAAAGGGCTTTGCAAAGATTAAATGCCTTGTCCTGAAACAGCACTGTGAGTAATTTTATTCAAGAGAGTATTTTCATCCCTATTTCACAAAGGAAAAGATTGAACAAGGGAGGCCAAGTAATTTTGTTCATGGAATCAAAGGTGTAAATTACACTTTTTAATTAAATAAAAATCATTGGTCCAAGAAGCATGCAAGCCTAAGTGAAGGCCCTAGCACAACTGATGAGCAGGGCAAGATGTGCAGGAGGGCTGCCCATGTGATGTGGGACCTTGACTCAGATCAGTGAAGCATCTCAGATATTACAGGAGGTCTGAACGGGACCGTATGTGCCCCTTAATGTGCAAGTGAAGAGTTCCTGGCTGCAACTCCTTGTCTTTGATTTCCAAAGTAGTAATAACCTGCTAATTGTGATACTGTTTTCAGTTCTAGTCATAGGTAAGTAGTGAGTTCCCCTCTCGGAAATGAGGTGACAGATGSAAGCGATGATCGCATGGCCATTCACCAGCAGAAATGGGTGTAGAGCTCACATTCCCTTCTTCTGAGCCCTGGGCACAATGCTGCAGACTTCTGGTAAATGGACGTTTTACAAGAACAAATAGATCTCGTAGCAGTTGCTGCAGGGAGCTCTGTAGATCMAGCCATCTGGATCTGCCCACTACCCCAGCCCAGCCAGCTCATCCTGCAAAGCAAGGCTAAGCCCTGGAAACCCAGGGCAGCACTTGAGTAAAGCAGGCTCAAGCCATGGAGTAAGGGGAGCCTGTGAGCACAAACATATGGTTTTGTGTAGTCAGTAAAACAGCRGATACTGTGTAGAATAACAGATTCCAGCCGGAGTTCAGATCCAGGCAAAATGACCGCTCTTATGATAAATTCTCTCTTTGTCTTTTCTTGGCATGAAAATGTAGAACATTTCTCTTTAGAAAAGGACATACATTTCTCTGTTGTTCTGTCCCTTTTTACTGTCCTTCTTTTTCCTGACACTTTTCAGTTCTGACCGCAAAATTGGATTCTGGAAAGACAAATGGGTTTTAAAAAGGTACTCTCGTCAATTGAAATGTTTCCCCTGTATGCTTAAGGTAAAGAATATTAAGCATTGCACAAAGAGAGAAAGTGTAAAAGGTAAAAATGCCTGCAGGCTTGATTTTTAAAGATATGCATTTTTTTTCTTACCATGTTGCAGATCTCGCCTTGCAGATTTTTTCACAAACTGCCAGCCTGAGTCACGGTCTGTTAGTAGCTGTCTGAAGGAGAACTATGCTGACTGCCTCCTCGCTTACTCGGGGCTTATTGGTAAGAACACGGGGAAGGGTGGGGGCTTGATCCGTCCACAGAAACACCCTAACAATGTTGGGAAGGTCCACCTGAAACAGAGTCAGTGAAAGGTAACGCTCTTGGTCATGCTGTACAATATGACTCCAGGAAAAAAATTCCAACTTTGTGGGTAAATGTGTGGTCTTTGTTTTACTTTACATAGATTCCTGCAGTGAAATTGTAGGTTGGAAGCAAATTAAGGATAGAGGACAGGGAAAGAAAGATGCTTGAGTTTGGAGAAACAAATGCAAGTTAAGCTTACCTAACASGCCTTATTAAAGTGTTGAATTTGGACAAGACTCAGAAGCAAGAAGTTTAAAAGAACAAAAGAAACTAGAGTTTTCTTGTTTTTGCAGCTGTCACCTCAAGGTTGAGTAAAATACCTCCTGAGGTCTCTGGGAAAACTTTGCAGGATGTTTTAGGATTGCAACAATAAACCAGCTCGGTTCTTTTTCACTTCCAACTGCTATGCTTTCCATGATCTCCTTCTGTCCCTTTTAAGTTTTTTCTGACATGCTTGTCAATGGAGGTTAACTGAGACCAAATGTATCGTCAGAAATCCTCTCCCTTTCCGATATATTTCATTTTGCTTGCCGTCACCTGCCTGACTGCAAACTGGCACAAGGATGCTCATAAGCAAGTAAGATTCCGTATGCCACACAGTATTTGGTTCCTGAATGTGAGAGAGCATCTCAGAAAAGTGAACTTGCTGTAGAAATACCATAGCTGGGCAGTAAGGAAAAAGCAAATGCCAAAACTCTCAAACAAATTTTAAAAAGGCCGCCAGATAAGATGTTTTTAAGCATACAGCCTACAGGGGCTGCAGTGATGGAAYTGCCCTTCTGTTGGGTATGAAGGTCCCAGCTGAGCCCTTGAAGCAGATCCTCCTGTTGAAAAATAAAAAAAAAATAAAAAATAAAAAAAAAATATTTTGAGGTAATAGCCAAAATAAAATAGGATGTTTTTAGTGAAGAAAAAGTCCGTGAAAAAATGGCTGAAAGTCATTTAGTCTGAAATGTCTGAAGAAAATGGCATTGCTATCATTTTTATGACTGTAGTATCTAAAAAGTGAGGTAAGTCCATGCAGAAACTGGCAAGATAAGGCATGATGGTTTCAGAGGGCATACTTCTGAGATTTATCAGATGAAAACAATACACAGACGGTCTGGCATATGAACAGCTGTGACAGAATGTCATTTGATTCTCAAAGAATTGACTAATCTGGAAATCGATACTAGTCAATTAAACTAAAAACTCTAGCTACTAGCAAAGATAGTATAATCTGTCTAAAACTAATAGATATTTCTAGATAAGAGCTGCGAACAAGTTCTTGCTGGATCCAGTGAATTTTGCTGAGAATTTTGTTGAATTTATTTTTTAAATCTACTGTTAAGGATGAGACAGTTCATATACTCAGGTGTTTTTGTGTTCCTGTCAGTGACCATAACGCAAAACTCAGGCATCAGAGACATGGAATAGATCCCAGAGGAAGTGAAATCAAAAAGCAGTCTATAATTTTCAAAGGGAAAAATAAACAGTTTTCTTYTTTCCTGTCACTCCCCAGACACAAGACACATGGGAGATGGGAATTGATTAGTGTTACAAGAGTTTCTACCTCTTGTGAGTGACTTGAGAAACCAAAAAAAATACCAAAACACAACTTATATGTTGTGAAGCCATCAACTCCTGCTCTTGATATCAGCCTGATATATAACCCAATGAAATTATATGCTGACCTATCAAATTTGTAGAAGGCTGTCTAAGATTGAAATCAAATATATAACCTTCCTATTTGATGCTTAATTTATAGAAAATGTAGGAAGAAGAGATTGACAGACTCAAGGTCTGTTATAGGTTCATTCATATAGGGAGCTCCAGGAGCTMGAGGTGTTTTAATTGAGATTAAATATGGTTAGTTAGGGTAGAATATTTGCTCATGTAATCTTTTCATTGAAGGTAACAAAAATTGTACTTCCACGGATATTTTTTTTTCAGGAAAATGAAGTTTCTTTAGGAAAGGATGATCCTGCTGTCACATACAGTGATGTAAATCAGAGTTAACTTGAGTGAACTCTGTGGATGTCCTCCTGAAATAAATGATTAAAAAAAAAAGTGTGAATAGTCAGGCACAGTTTTGTAGGTGAAGGTGTTATACCAGTTAAATGTAGAATAGACTAAATAGCATGTTTTAAGGTTTGCATCAGGGTGTAATATACATAATTTTTGAGAGTTCTATTTTACAAGATTTTTGAAAGACTTAGTGCATAACCTTTGGCTCCTTGTTATAGCCATAAAGATCAATTAATACTTTTATTATGTAAATATATTATCACATAAATGGAAAAGATAAAGATTATGAAATGTAAAATAAAACAAGAGATACCCGTKTTTGAAACCCTGTGCAGTGGTTAGAGCCTATTAAAACCATCTGGAGCTGTCTGCACTCCCACATCAACTTGGTATTGAAGTTATCRGTGACTTAAAAATATCATTTACCATTCATTTGCTGACAAATTTTCAAGGTTTCAGCAAAATCCCTCCAATTTCCTAGCATTCTGTGGTATTTCATGAGAATTTGTGTGAATAAACTGGAATTGCAGAATGAATTGCATACTTCTCTATCCTGTTCTCCAAGTTTAGAATTGGGTCCAGAGGTTTACATGATAATTCTTACTCGCTAGGCTATTTTCTACCTCCAGCCTACAAAAGGACCGCCTGCTCTGCTGACTTTCTTATTATTCAGGTCTTGATACTTGCTGYGTGTAAGACATTTTCTGGTCTTCAGCCAACTTCCAGTCATTGGATTTCATTTGTTCAGTGAGGGTCAAAGGAACTTCAGTCACGTGCCCTCCTACCTGGACTCACCATCCGTCCCCTTGTTCCTAACTGATCCTAGTCTGAGCAGCCTTTTGGCTGAGTTCAGGTCAATTCTGATTTTGACCAAAATATGGACACCTGGCTGCTCTACTGCTGAGACCTCCAGGAAACCGTGATATAGGGAACACGGTTAACCTATATCACACGTRCTACCACCCACTCTCAGTCTCTGCTTTGTTAGGATCCTGCAGCTGCCTTTGCAAGMTGCTAGTGGGGAAGCACATTCACGCACATGCACTCTTTGAAGGCAAAAAAACCCAGAAAATCCACCCCTGGAAAACAAGCACATAATCCGCTTGGGTTCACATCTGCCCCCAGGTTTAAATGACAGACTGATTTTCTACTAGCTGCTCCTTCAGCCACTTTGCTTTAGCTGGCTGCAGAGTTCGCGTGCTGTATGTACACATTCCCTGTCCTGCCTTTCCTCTGTTCATCAACCTTAATCATAGCTTGATATCTCTTACATTTTAGGCTCTGTCTAGACCCATTTTGACGACCATATTACCTCTTTGAGATGAGAAGGTCTTACCTTAGTGAGCTTTTTAGCTTCCTCAATACGTTTCTGCTTTCTTAAACCTTCACTAAATATTTGATGCTTGGCCATTTTCTATTGAAGATTACAATTTTCTTTCCTTTTGCCAAATTCTCTTGCTTCTCATTTTACCTCACTTGCTTCTTTTCCAGTCGTGAGTGTCACGTAAATGAAATAATGTGCTGAACCATCAAACAAATAATAGATGTTTATTTTCATTTGCTTTAATTTAACAGCATTCTTGTTCTTATTTATCTACTGTCAAGTGTTCATTATTGGTGCAATTGATATTTGYCTATTTTACTAAATTCGTCACCTCCATTTAATAAATTTTGAAGTCTGCTGTTTACTCATGTGCTGATCTCATGTAGAATTTGAGCAATTATTACTGAAACGATCTGTTAAAATTTGCAAGCAGATAAAGGTAAGGGATTGCATTCTAATTTAATAATACTCTAAAATGGGAGAAATGATTCTTTTGCTGACTGCATTTGCATTACATTTCTTTTGACGTACATTTCTGCCTTTCTCAAGTAAGCCCTTAACATCTGTTCTCCTTTGTCTCCAGCCTATTTATGAAAAAAGCTGCATGTTGATTTTTTGAGCTTCCAGTGGTGCTTCATGTCTAAAAGGCTACGTGACATCCTTCTGATTTCTGTTATTTCTAAAGTTTCTACTTTTAGCTTGCTATTGGATAGGCCTTTCCCTAGTGGTATTACAGACTCTTGAACCTTGGAAATATGGACAAAATTTTATCTTCTAGTGTACAGTTTGAGTCTCTTAATATTCATTCTTCATGAGCAGTAGATTACCGAAGGAGAAGCTTAATTTCCCCAAAATGCTGTCCTCAAAGCACCTCTGGAATGGCTGCCCCTTTCTGTTTAGCTTTTCCTGCTTGGTAAGAAAAATAAAATAAACTCCTTTGGAGAATTTCGAATCACTGATTTATCATGTGAATGTCTTCACTGAGACATTCAGTGAATTGGTGTCAGGATTGGTGTCACCTTGATTAGGTGTTGATCACTTTCCATCTATTTGATCTAGATCAGTGATGAGCACTCCCTCTATTTCTTTTTGGCCATGGAGTATACACTTTGTTTTCATTCAGTTCTTGATGAACTTGAGTTGTCACATAAATGTGAGAATATTTACCCAAGGATTTGTTAGAGAGTTAGAAAAACTCTCTGTTTTAGAAAACTCTGCTGTTGTAACTTGCTGACTTTTCTTTTTTTTTTTTTTTTTTTTTTTTTAAGGAATCAACCACTACGCTTAAAAAGCAGTGACACTAAAAGCAAGAATAATAGTAATTTGTTACCTGCAAAGTAATCTCTTGGACATTTTTAGGCATGCTTATTATTTCTTTACTTTGTTTATCACCGTAACCAAAATGTATTAGGGCTCTTCTTGGTATGGAGCAGTTCATGCATTTCAGAACCCTTTTTCAGGCTGGCTGCAGGCTCAGAGAGGAAGCTCAGGTCTAGAGGCTTTCGGTCAACTGTGTATTTGCCTCTAGTAGAAAAATGAGAGAGGGAAGGGGGAAAAAAAKGCTAGGAAGAAAAATGGGTGCTAATATTCAGTGTGACTCTCAGGATGCAAGTCTGTCTGTGATTACTTTGATAGCAAAGCCCTTTTAAAAGCTTCCCGCCCCTCCCAATCTTTCCAACCCCAGTGCCACAATTTTCCGCTTCTCAGTCCTGCTGATGCAGCTCTATGTGGTGCTGCAGCATAAACCTGTCTAGAGAAATCTCCTGCTTTTGAGTAGAAGCAAATGGGTTTACAGGACTGGAGGTCAGATGGCAAAGGAGACTTTTAAGTCTACGTTTTAGAGCTTTCCCATTAGTCTGTGTTGTGATTGCATCTCTGAATACATGAGTTACTGTCATTGTTTCTTACCTTTTTAGTATGGAAAGAATGTTTAATTACAAGGATTACTCACAGCACTATGTTTCACTGCTTATTAATAGGTACGGTGATGACACCAAACTACATAGACTCGAGCAGTCTCAGCGTGGCCCCGTGGTGCGACTGCAGCAACAGTGGTAACGACATYGACGAATGCCGGAAATTTCTGAATTTTTTCCAGGACAACACATGCCTTAGTGAGTACCAAATTATAAGATGTCTTTAAATGTGCCTTGTTTTGTTACCATTGTAAATGGTAACTGCATTACCATTTAAATATGTTGTGATATATCAAGGAAATCTCACTTTAAAAGCTTGGTTCTGCTGTAGGTACAAGAACTAGCACGTGAGCAGGTAGGCCTGATTCTGTGGTTTATAGTGAAGACTGCAAACATGAGAAGCTGTTGGAAAAAAAACTCCAAATAGCAAAAATGTATCATATAGAAAAATGTTTTCCTCACAGAGCATGTCTTGACCCTTGCAGCCAGGGAGCACCTGTAGTAAAAAATTGAAGCAGCCGAGGGGCTTGTGTATAGTTTAAGAACTTCATATAAAAGAGACATGTAGTTTATGAAGGATTTCCTGTAGGTAAGTATAAATTGGATTGTGTGTGTAATTTATGGCCAAGCTTCAGCTTTTTCAGGCCACTTGATCTCAAGTGCCTGTTTTCAGCGTCAGTCTTAATGGTACWGGTTTTCAAGATTTTGTTAACTTATTGATTTTTTTCTTTTTGAACTCACTTCCAAATTAGAGGCTATTATAAATTTCAGAATGGCTCAGTGGAGTCGATTTTGGCAGGTTCTCTTTTCAAATTTCCTGTCTGCCTGGAGCAGCTTAATTGGATGATGTGGAGTTTTAACTTCAGATAAATGAAGAGACCCAAAAAGCTTGGCTTCCCTAGCCTAGCAGAACAAAAGTTGAAAGGGTACATGATTGTCCTCTGAAATTACATTAGAGAGGGAAGCAAAGGGAGGGGAGAAAATTACTTAAACTACAGGACAATGTTGGCGTAAGATCAAAAAGGGAGATATTGGCCACCCCTATTTAGGCTTGAAATTGGAAAAGTTTTAACCATCACTGTAAAGTTACCAAACAGCAGGAGTTTTGAGGGGAAAAATTCTTCCTGTTTTAAAAGTCAGATTTCATCAGRTTATGAGAGGAAACAACCATTGCTGCTCTTTGCAGAAATACAGAATAAACTCAATAAAGAATGTCCCATTCTGTACACTTACGCTACTGCTGCTRCAGGGTTAAGTCTGCATTTTAGGGTCTAAAAATCTCTACTCATATTTTCTCAGCAAGCAGCACTTTTGTTTAGAAAAAAAAAGTGGAAAATGGTAAGCTATGTGGATAAAAAGTGAGTGACATGAATCACCATTTCACTTAGTTTTGGAATATTGAAAGAACTAATAAAGATTGTTCAATTACCAGAAAAAAAGAAAAGAAAAATCAGGGTTCATTCTATCCTGCCAGTGCTACCTTTTGTATATAGTACCATACTTCAGATTTTATTGTTTTGTGAATGTATTGCTATCATGCTACAGATTCCTCTCTCTTGCTGCTTTAATGAAGACAAATCAATGACTTTAGAGGTCACAGCAAGACAAATATAGTCCTCTTAGCCTATGAGAGACCTCCTATTCATAAAGAAACTAAAGGTGCTTCTGGTTTAATAAAAATGTTCTTTTCTTCACAGAAAAGGGGAAAAGATCAATTTATTTTTGTTATTGTTGTCACTAATAGCCTTTCAATGTTTTGTAAGAAATGGCATTTGGTTAAGGAAATGGAATTTGGTTAAAGAATTAAAATACACCCTCTCTTTTTTTCTTTTGACCTCCCCCCAACATTGTTTTTTCTGCAGTAGGATGAAACTGGCACCTTTGGGAATTTCTTGTTGCTCTTTTTTGCTGGATACTGTTTGGAAGTAAGCCTGTGATTTATGGTGTGTGCAGAAATTGTGGGAAATGTAGCTTAAATATTTATTCCAAAAGTTATTTTGTTATTTATGTGGAATGGAAAAGCTCGGGCAACAAGCACTGAGGCTATGCTATAGCCTGAAGGCAAGGGAACTCAGAAAGCAGGAAACCTGGGAGCACATTCCTACATTCCTACTGTGCCTGTTGTGCAGCGGYTGTATGAACTTCAGTCTCCGTGTCCCACATGAATATCTAATCTTAGCCTTTCTTGTCCGTCTTTATGTTGTTGCCCAGAAATTCCACTCCAGAGGAGAAAAGACTTTTGCAACGGAAATTGTAAATGGAGTTAAAATTTTGCTTTTGAAAAGTTGATGTGAAAATCCTAGCAAATTTCAGACTGTTTCAGTATCTAGTCACAATAGTTAAATATGGTGCTSAGAAATGTGGCTTTTCTGGTGACATGAGTTTAAGAATATGTGTCTGTGTGGGCATGCGGAAAATGGATCTTATATCAGAACTGTGAAAGTGGTTCAGAAAGGTAAAAGTGGTTCAGTTTTGCACAGACAAAAATCCAGACTACTAAAGTTCTAATAAAATATACTGCAAGCTAAAATTGGGACTGTATCTTACCTCAGTTATTTTTTTTTTCTCCTTTTTATTAAAAGATGCAAGTTTACTGAAAATATCACTGTAATCCTAATWGCTGCCTCTACAAGGATGGTTTGGTGCACTTAAAATTTTGACAATCCATTTTAAGATTTTATTTGCATTCTATCAGTGTCTTCTTTTTTCAGTTATTCTAATCCCTATAGCCTGATCCTACAAATGTTACAATACTGTAAGAATTCCCAGTGAACTGAATGGGAGTCAAGATATTTAAATGGCTTTTGAAGGATTTGTTCACACCTGCTTTATATTGAAATAGGTAAAAAGAAAAATGGCAAATGGAAGGAAAAACACAAAGCAGAGAGTATTGAAAGAGCCCTTCATTAGATCAGTTGGACATCTGAATCATGCTTTTATAGTCATATGGTATTTTGTAGATATATATGAGGAGTGTGTTTAAGAAATACTATGAGAGTACGTTGATTTTTTTAAGCAAAAAMCAGGAAAAATACTACTTCATTCTTCCAGTTTTGTCTCCATCAAGCTAACTTATTGTGGTGCCTTATATAAATCTTAGTGCTTCTTGGAGTTTTTAAGAACTAATATTAGAATAAAATACATCTTTCTCTAATGAGAATTAAATGTAAACTATTTTATAAGGCAAGGAATGCCAATGAGAAGTAGTATTAATAACTTCCACATATTAGTCCCCAGTGAGATATTGTTTGATTTCTTATACAATGAATTTGAAATAAGAAATCCCTAAATCCATGTTGAATCCCCAAAGACCTGATTAAAAACTATTTCTCTATTTGTTTATAGAAAAGAAACCAATTTACTCTTGCTGTAACCACACTCTTTAATCCCATGAAACTGTGAAAGCTTTTTAAACTTTTACATTCCGAAGTTTTAGTTGAAGCATGCTTCCCCTCACCCTGTTATACAGATTTGGTTTAAAATTGTAAGGAAGAGATGGTCTTAGTTAAAGTATTTYGTAGTTACGGACATGCTGGTTTAATAAAATAAGCTTCAGAAATTGTTACTTTGCCTGCTGTCTGTTTGTAGTTTGCTATGTAACATCACCTGTTTGAGTAAGGACATAACATTCAAACTAAATTTTAAATCTCAATAGTAAATTTTGTACATTTTTAGATAGTAGCAAATATGAATACAGTAAGTTTTATAGCTTATGTCAGGATTGACTGAAAGTATTGCACAAAATATGTATCAGATTAGGTCTTCCTTTACTAATTATGAAACCTCTTAGTTCATGTTTTCGATGTGTAAACAATTAATTCACTTTGCAAACTAAAATTTAATTTTTATACATAAGCATTTTCCATAGAAGAATATTGGTTTCATTTACCTGTACTCTCTAGATTAAAAAAAAAAAATCAGTTCTGCTTTCTGCCATTTATTTATAAATCAAAATTTATCTGTAATGTGTTTTTGCAGAAAATGCAATTCAGGCCTTTGGCAATGGTACTGATGTGAATGTGTGGCAGCCAATCCTCCCCGTACAGACCACTACAGCCACAACTACAACAGCTTCCAGACTTAAAAATGTGGGTTTAGAGACCACCAACAACGAAATACCAACCAACAATGATTCGCCAGCATGTGCAAACTTGCAGGTAAGAAAGACTCGTAGTTGCTGCAGTGCATAAAAGAAAAGTGTTCATAGATTCGTTTTTAGAGTCAGGTATTGTTGCATAAATATAATATACTTTGKTTCAAAATATCTGAATATCCTGCCATTGTAGTTACAAACTGGATACATTGTAAAATATCAGAGACTCATATTTTAGGTAAAAAATATGCATATTTCAGAGTTTTCTGCATTGTATTGGTACCATGTCTCAGAAACAGGACAGAGGATTTAATCTGTTAAAATCTGAGTTTTGGCTATGAACATTGCACTCTACAAACCAGTGCAGGTCTGCTAGTGTAGGTCAGATAAAATTGATCCTCTGCATAATCCATAATGCATAATAAGTCAAAGGTAAATCTTAAAGTGAGCTAGCATGTCATACTGCCTTCTTCCAGCTACTTTGTTGGGTTAGTGCAAATAGACTTTCCTCCTTAGGCTGAGTAGCTGTGGATAGTGGGGAATACGGGGTGCCAACAACTACGTGGTGCAGATGCTGGACAAAAATACAAGCTGTTCTGGTTCAAGTATTTTGTTGAATTGGACTCAAAGTCATGATGAAGTTTTGGCCAACAAATGCAGCCATGTCCCTTGGCATTTCACTCCAACAGTTCGTGATATGTAATTGATTGTGGTTGTTAAAGAGGCTAGCCACTTGCTGAAGGCAGYGTGTGCAACTTTTGGAAAACCTAGAGAACCTTTTGGGCTGGGAAGAATGGGAAAATCTAGGTGGCAAAGAGCAAGAGGCAAACAGAAGTGTAAATGGAAAGCATCTTTATGCCCGGAGGTTGTAGAAATCCTGTATTATAAACATTTCTGGTGATTTAAAGCTACCAAATTAGGTCAGAAAATCGGTTTGGCCAATTTGTAGTTGTATCCTTGCAGAAGGACAATTGCTGTAAGGTATTAATGAAAGTCTCAAAGTTTTAAAATTTTCATCTGGTATAAAAATACCTATATCCTCAATTTGCATACACTTATGCACTTTTTTTATGAGATACCATTTACATTTCACTTGATTATAGAACACTTGATTCTATACTGTAGATGTTAAATAGTATCCAAGTTTCTACATTGACTTCAAGGGAGAGTTCATACAGCCCAGAAATATGTTTTGCTTCCTCCTCCCCACTCTCTCATCTTAATCCTCTTTTTTTTCAGTTTACTTTGCATACCACATTGGCAAATTTCATATGAATTAACACTCCACATTGGCATTGCTGAGTCACAAAGTATGTGGGCTTAGTGGTAGATCGTGTTGAGCTTAAGTTGTTTAATTTTGATTCTATTTTTGCATAACTGTACACTCACTATTAGTTAGGCTTTGTGAGCTCTTGATGAGAAAGTGATAGTTGTAGGCACAGTATTTCCATATGAATAGTTGTTTAACTAGAAAAAAAAAGTAGGCTAAATAAATTTAACCTTTCAAACTTGGAACTTGGAACATCTTGTATGTAAAACAAGAACTTGATGGGATATTATTAATTCACTTCATGTTATATTAAAAAGTTATTTTATGGCAGAAGTCTTGTTTGCCTCCAGTGTTTGTGCAGTCCCTTGTAGAATACAGCCTCCAGATGCTACCAAAGTACACATGATTAATAATGAACTGAAGAAATGACAAGCAATTACAAATCCCATTGGTTTCCATTTGACTTGCAAATGTTCCAGTGTCCTGAATATATATATCCAAGTGTTTTAAAAATGAATGAATTTATTTCCCCACCTTACTTCTGATCATTTGGCATTTTAAAGTCTCATTCCACCTCAGTCGGTCAGACCTCAAATGTACCTCTGTTAGACTTGATCAGTAATGACCAAAAAAAAAAAGTAAAGGATTTTTTTGGGAAAATAACTTGATTAAAAGAAATGATCTACTGGTTTATAGAAGTTGTAGAGATGTCTGCAGTGGAAGGCCACCAAAGTTTAGTGAATCAAGCAGTTTTATTCTTGGGAACTACATCATGCTGGTGCTAGCTACCTCCCTGTGTCAGAACTGAAATACAAAGAACATAGCTTTTATATTTCATTGCATTTAAAACAAATAACTTACAAATTGGGCCAATATAGGCTCTCTTCTTGTCCTTTTTGGAAAAAAGAAAAAAGAATCCTGTGCTGGTTGGACAGTATGGCACCTCATTTAAACCTCGGTTCAAATTTTTGAAAAGAACTGGAGGCATTCATATTGCACTTGAACAAACATATTCATTCCAAGATTTGGAATGAATCATGAGATTCCTCTCATGAAAAATATTGCCTTTTTAGTGTTTTCAAAACATGCGCTTGTACTACCAAAACCAATCTGAAAGGCTTTGTGATACACTTAGCATTTGAGCTGAAAGGTTTCAAAAAGGAATATAGCCTAAATATTGTGAAAAGTAGAATTAAAAGCATTTGCTTCTATACAAAAAAGATAGTGACAGACAAGGGAGAAGAATATTATCACTGAGATAGTTCAAGGCTGCTTATCATAGTTAGTGGATTTGAAAAATACAGTAAGGGAGGAAAGAACAAGAAGTGATTGATTAGTATAAATAGCCGTAGAAATAAATACAGTAGGGGAGGAAAGAGCAGGAAGTGATTGATGAGTATAAATAGCCACAGAAATGAACAAATACTAACCTCCTGGGTTAGTATTGTAAAATACTGAGCATTAACTAATCTGCCAAGAGTGTCACCAGCTGAGCAATTTTTGATATTTTTTTTTCTGGCTTGTTCAAAGTGGTCATATGAAAAGCTTGAATAGACTAGAAAAGAGTGCACTAATGGTCTTGTCACTGTGCCTACCAATATACCTGGGAATCTGCAAGGGTTATGAGCACTTAGAGAAAATACATGATACTTGTTCACTAGAAGTCTGTATGTATTTCAAACATATCATTTTTGCTTCTGTGACACTATTTAGAAGTGGTTCTTCATTTAAAATTACCATTGTTACAAGCATTTTCAGGTCCTACACTATTTTTTCCTGTTTCACACTGTCACAGAAATATGTTGGCTTCTGATACATGCTTATTTTGTGTTTATATGTTCATTACTTTCTCTACACTGTACTACTATTTCTATCCCCAAATTAAGTCAGCCTTTTCCAGGAAGATCCAATCAGTCTTTTCCAGAAAGATGTTTCAACTTCAAGAAGCATCTTATAAACACTTTTAACAATTTTTATAAACGATTAAGTTTGCTAATGAGAGGCAAAGAGTAAATAACGGTTAACTTCATATAAAACTCTAAATCCAAAGATCTTTTAAGATGCTAAACACCATACAAAGCATGATCATCAAAGTATAAAAATAATTGGTAAGCTATTTTGTCCAAAAAAAAAGAAGGAAAATGGGTGGATGCCAGCAATGTCATCCTTGCACAATTTTTATTAAGTAATTTCTTCCCTGTGTTTTCCCTGATAGCTGTACTACAATGTGTGCTGTTTAACTGATGCTTTCTTTTTCGTTCATTCTCAATCATTACTTGTGTTTGACACTGTAGTTCAGAACAGTTTTGGTTTTCCAGTCTTGCATTCCACTACCAATGCTTGATCTGTCATACTGGCTTATTTGAAAAGGACAAAAGGATGAGTTTGACCGTGTACTCCCCTAAAGTATTCTTCAAAAAAACTACTGTTCTGCACTTATGAGATGTGCAGGGAGCTGAAATAACATAAAATTAAATTAACATAAAATTAAAATGATAGATCAGCATAGATTTGACCAAGTGTTATTATAACATCATCATTGATAAATAAGAAATGCAGGCCTTTTTCTATGGAGATTGCTATAATATTTTAGACAACATTTTGAACAAGACTCAAAATGATAGAAATTGCTGTGGTTGAGGATGCTTCAGTCTAACTCTGTGCATCAAAATCTGTCAGCTCCCTAGCTAGTTCTGTACTCTCTCATATCATATTTCTTGTATCTTGATCTAGCAAACTTTAATTCAGCGTTTAGGGAATTTAAGATTTCTGTGCATCTGAAGAAGTGTGGGCAATGGGTACAGACAGAACTGAGATGCATGGCCCTTTAGATTGAAGGTGAATATTTCACAGGCAAGTCCAGAATGTGATTTTTTTTTTTGTATTCTCCGCAGAAAAATAACTTATTTAAAAAATAGAAAAGAAAAAGAAGATAGAAATTAACACAAATATTTTATACAGAACAAGAAGGAACAGAAACATGTAGATATATACGTAGGTGAATTCTTTTTATTTGCTTATATGATTAGTGAGTCTTTAGAATACAAGTGGGATATTTCAGACTGTTCAGATTTATTTTTCTTTCCTCAGAGGCATTCCTACAAATTCACATAATTTCAGAACTTTAAGGACTTTTAACAACTTTCTCAGAACGTCAAGAAAAATCTGTCTTGGGAAATCATAGGACTAAAACAGGAGGCAGAGTTCCTCACAGTTCTCTGAGGAGACAAGGACTTAAACATAGTTTACATATAGAAAATGTCTGTGCTTTTAATCTGGTTGGTTTAGGTGCTGCGCATCCTCAGCACTGGGTAAGGATCTGCTAATCTTGACTTGAAATTCTGTCTGTAATTACTTAATGTAGCTACCTGTGTGCTAATTATTATTATTATACATGTGTAGGTGTTAGGAGAGGGTTAAAAGCCTCAGTGTAATGCTCTGAGGATCACGTCCCAGCAGGGTTAGGGATTCATGGATTGGTAATTGGGAGGTGGATGAACATAAATAGGAAATATGAGCGATGTGTAGGTGTTCTGTTGATGAAGGACTAGTCCAGTTGCTGAAACGGTAGTCTGGAATAAAGTCAAAGTGACCTTTATAGCACCAGTCTTAGCAATTTGGTATGGCTGACACCTTTTTCCTTGCTCCCTTCGCTTAGGCTGTGATCTTTCTATTTCTTTTCTGCTCTGTGGAAAATAAATGTTCTCCTTTGCAATGTCCTTCCCTCAGGAGATGTCTTATTTGGGCGTCTTCCACCAGACATTGTACCTATTCAGAAACTTTCAGTCTAGGGT